TTTTTTCAGGCCACATGTGAAATATAATGCTCAATTCTGGGTACAGCATTTCAGGCAGGGCATTGATGAACTTGAGAAGTGAGTTGGGGTGGTTTAGAACCTCAGGCTCATGCTAGGAAGAGAGGTTGAGATAACTAGGACTCTGTATCCTGGAGAAGAGGGGAATACTCTAGGATATATCTGTGGTGGAGAGGTTTGAAGAACTGATATAGATTAGATTTATTCTGCTTCACCTCAAAGGGAAGAACTAGGACCGATGGGGAGACTGCTACAGAAACTCAGCTTTTAGCTGAATATGTAGAACTTCCTAAATGATTAGAGCTGCCCACAAGTGGAATGGTCTGTTTCAGGTGGATTGGATTCATACTTAGTGGAAGTCTTCAAATGGAGGTTAGACAACTACTTACAAGAGTTATGATAGGAGGGATTCTTAATAAGGTATGGTTTGGATTAAATACCTGCTAACATTCCTTCATAATCTGTGATTCCACTGATTAAAGGTTCAACCCAAATGCCATTGTTCTTATATATATATATATATATATATATATATATGTGTGTGTGTGTGTGTGTGTGTGTGTGTGTGTGTATATATGTATATGTATATATACATGTATATGTGTGTGTGTATATATGTGTGTGTGTCTATATGTATATAAAATTTGGGTGAAGCAATTGGAGTTAAGTGACTTGCCCAGAGTCACACAGTTAGTGTGCTCCCATATATTTTTAACAGCCTTACCAACCTATATTGATATCCTTGTCTTCTAAATTCCTTTGATTTTATTTTCTGTACCACTTATCTGCGGTACAAACATAGCTATTATGCAATAAATACCATAAATGCATAATACAGGATAGACATATATCAATTAGGTCAATCACATTGTGAATTTTAAGAGTGCATAAGCTAAACACATCACAGGGCTAATCTTAGAAAGTAAAGTCTTATTCCAGATTCACATGAATATGTTTTTCATGTACTAAACAATATTATTAATCGTAGCGTCCTCTTTGAGTTCTGCCTCCCAATCTGTAGTCATACTTGTTCTTGAACTCTGTGGTTGGTTCTCTAAAAGGGCTACTATTACCTATCAGGGTTAAAGTATGCCCTGTGGTACATCTTCCTAAAACTAAAGCTCATGATTCACCTACCAATGCACTTACCTTTAATAGTTGTCTAGTAGAGACAATTATCTCAAAGCAAAAGCAATTTTCAAGATGCCACAAAATTGGTGGGAAGAGTGGGCACAATCTGAGTACATTAGTAGTGAGAAACATACATACAGAAAACACATGACCAAAAAACTTATGTCACTAGTATTGTAGGGCTAGTATCCTTTCTTTTTTGTGATAATTATACGTTGCTCCCCTTGGGTAGCATCTCTGCTGGGCAAGTGGCTCATTTTTGGTCCCTAGGTCTATTTTTATTGGCTGTTCTACTCTAGATTACCAGAACTTCTGTCTTAAATCCTTACTCAGCTCCCTTCTCTTCTGTCAGAGATCATACTCCTTGAAGCTGCTTCAGGCCAGACTGTCTTCAGAAGACCACCAGATTTGGAGTCAATCTTCAGCCAAATTGCCCCTGTAATTTCATCATCCTTCACACTTCATAAAGAGGCAACAAGGCCTAGATATATATTAGCATTTCATTTAACACATTAACAACTTTAATATCTTCTAGGCTCTGTTACAAGTTCACTCTTAGTTTCTGTGATTAAATCAACTAGACTGGTGGGAGAACACATTTCTCTCAGGACATAATATTTTTATATTTGAAGTTTATAAAAAGGCATTTATTGTAATAGGTTAAGTGGCTGAAAATTCTTAAGTAAAAAAAGAATATCAAGAAAATATGATATATGCAAATAAACTATAGATATAAGCTGGTCAGTAATTCTATCCCAATGAAGCAAAAGTTTTAGTCACTGAAACTACATGTGCACATTATTGATTCCTTTTTATTTATTCAAAAACATTTATTGTCTTCTATGTACAAAGCACTTTATGGAATGCAAATATAAGTAAGAGATGATCACTGCCCCCAAGGAACTTATAATCAAATGAGAATAACTAAGATATGAACAATATAATAATAGTAGAATAAATGAATGAATGGAAATTTTTTATTGGGTTGCTTACTATGAACCAAGAACTAGAAGCAAATATAAAATAAGTGGCATATAAGTCATATAAACTAATGGTTATAATAGTTCAGAGAAGGAACAGAAAAATCCCAATCAATGAAAATTTCATTGCAGAGGAAGCCTATCAGAAGGTCTGTGAGAGATGAGAAGAGTTGAGATAGGTAGGGACTATACAAAGGGAGAGCATTTGAAGTTAAGGCATCGGTGTGAACAAAGATGCCCCCATGCCTGTTTGAGGTAAACTAGACTAATTTGCTTATGACATAAAGTTATAGAGTAGTAAGGACTATATGGGGCTAGCTTTTGCTCTCACGTAAATAAAGTGCATCAGTTGAACGACAGTGTGTATTATTCCAACAGTAACATGGGCAATAATGTACAGTAATCCAACAAGGAACTGAATTTCAAAGACAGATGCATTGGCAGCATCCAGTTCCACCCCTGCCTCCATATTTATTTTTGGAAAAATTACATCTTTTTGAAATAGGAAGCTATCCTTGAGTTTTCAGTTATTTAAAAAGTTAAGCACAAAACCGGAGAATCCCATTTCTTCCTCTCTATTTTTAAAGAAGTTCTTGATATGAAACTTCAAACACACAGTGGAACTAAGATATTTGTTGTCAAGCCAGATCTGTGATCTGTGAGGCCAAGTAACTTCATATTTCACAAGAGTAATTTGGGTGTGGGGCAGACAGTGTAGTTTGTGATCGGGGAATAGCAAAATATTCCTAAATTTCCTAAAACATAGGTTACATAAAGTAGAGTGGACCTAAGAAAGGAAGAAAGAGAAGAGGGGAGGGAGGGGAGGACAGAGGGAAGGCTCTGCCCCCATTTTGCCACTACTTTGCCCTGTGATACTGGGCACGTCAAGTCACCTCTCTGACTCTTAGAAGATCATAGATTTAGAGCTAAAAGGTACCTTAGAAGCCACCTAGTACCACTTCCTCATTTTACACAGAATAGGAAGGGACTTCTCTGGGCTTAGATAGCCTGTCAGTAAATAACAGAGGTGAGATTTGAACCCAGCTCTTCCTGGCTCTAAATTTAATCTCTCTTCTCTTTGCTGCTGTTGTTCAATTGTTTCAATCATGTAAGACTCTCCATGACTCCATTTGGGGTTTTCTTGGCAAAGATACTGGAGTGGTTTGCCATTTTCTTCTCCAACTCATTTTACAGATGAGGAAACTGAGTCAAACAAGGTAAAATGACTTGCACAGGATCCCACAGCTAGTAAAGGTCTGAGGCCAGATTTGAACTCATGAAGATGAGTCTTTCTGATTCCAAGCCCAGTGCTATATCCAATGTGCCATCTAGCTGCCCTTAATGTACTTATTTTAAAATTTCTTTTACCTGTAGAATAAAGAGGTTAGACTAGATGATATTCAAAGTCCCTTCCAGCTCTAACATTCTGTGTGTCTAGAGATCAATGGTCCATTTCACAGTAAATATATTGGCAGTCCTGTGTTTTGGACCAGGATTGTGACTACTGCTTTCAGACCCCTGTCCCTCTTTTGGTCCCCACTCATTGCCTTAGGGGACAGTTTGAGGTTTTTCCCTGAATTGAAACTTTGCGTTCTGTGTGTCCACACAAACTACTGCTATTGCTTCACACCCACACCTTTAGCCAGCCACAGAAATGTTCCAGTGATTTGCTGATTCAGCAACACAAGGGAATTATCATCCCCATAGATGGTCTTGAATTATCAGGCGGCTACTACTCTACACACTACTCTGAAAACAGAGATTGCTCTCCAAAGGCCATTATATGCTACATATGTTTTCCTTCTCTCTAGGACTCTGGGGGGAAATACATCAACTTATGAATAAATACTGGGGCTTTTAGAACAATTGAAGCACACACAAGTGTGTAGAAGGTTAGAATAGCTTTTCCACATAGGAAAGAAAGTGTGACCCTGTCAAAAGGACCACAACAGGTCATATTCCTCCGTCCTCTGTTTGGGAATAAAAGTCACCCAATGTGCCAAATTTGGTTTCTAATAGTGTTTAATGGATCAGAACAACTATTATATTTGACTTATGCTAGCATGTGATTTTAAAACTTTGTTAGAAGAAAAGCTTTTTATTTTCTGTGTGTGTGTGTGTGTGTGTGTATGCATATACGCATATATTTTATATACATACACATATACACTTGTATACATACAAATTACAGATTAAGATGGGTAGAATGGCATACAACAAAGAATAATGAATTTGCAATAAGAAGACCTGAATTCTAATTCTCTTTGGATACTTACTGTATGACCTGGGGCAAGTTGCTTAATATCTCTAGGCCTCAGTTTCCTTATCTGTAAAATAGAGAAGTTGAATTAAGTGTTGTTTAAGGTCCCTTCCATCTCTAAAATCCAATGATCTTATGTTCATTTTTTTCTTACGTTTCATATTCTCAAGTTTATTTAAGACTGTCAAGCCTGCTACTTTTCATGTAGTTAATTTAGCATTATTTTCAGTCTTGATGTTAAATGTTCTATGGAGTTGATCAAATCTAGTTTGGTCAATAAGAAAATCAAATCAATTATTTATCACAGAATTCCATAACTCAGAGCTAAAAAAAACCTCTGAGATTATTTCATCCAACACATTTATGTTATAAATGAGAATACTGAAGCCCAAAGAAATCTGATGACTTGCCAAAAGTCTGTGTATTGTCTGTGGGCTTACTTACACAGCAAGTAAGTAGCAAATATGGTATTTCAACCTTGTGACCTTTATCCTTGAGACTCAACCTAGCCGATTTTTACTACTAAAAATTTTCTGTTTCATGTTTCTTTCATCTTCTGTGGATACCAATGCAATGTCGATGTGCCATTCTTCCCCTATTGTTTTTTATAGGTATTTTGCAATATGGAGCTTACAGGAGGAGGTTGGACAGTAATACAACATCGTGAAGATGGGAGTCTTGATTTCAAAGAGGATGGAAGGAATATAAAATGGTAAGAGAAATGCATTTCTCGTAGTTTGGGATGTTTTATTTCAAGTTACTTCCATTACACTATCCCACGCTCAAACAAACAAGAATCAGTAACATAATCCCCGTTATTTTAAGCCATCTCTGGAGTAACTTTCTAGTAGAAAACACATTTTGTCTATGATAGTGATGTTTCCCTCACACACAACACACAAGCTAATTTTAGGCAATGAGTCTCATATGTGCATATTATGAAAGAATCTTTGAGTGAGATGATGTATTGAGCCAATTAGTAGAATGCTGACTGCATTTAGGCTTCCAGTCATCTCAATGTGAGCGTCTTTTAATAATCAAAAACATTGGGGTCAGTTCCCTACTTCACACCTAGAAATGAATACCTAATTTCTGGGAATTACTTCCTTTGTTTTTCTATTCATTTCCCTGCCTCTCTCAAAAGGAATATGTGACTTACAAAGGATATTATTTTATACATACTTTTTAATTTATTTCATGTACAAAATATATCTTGCTAGTAAAATGTAAGCCCCTTAAAAGCAGACTATTTTATTTTTCTCTGAATGTCTAGGCACGGGGCTGGGGCACCTACAACCTCAAGGCCACATGTGGCCTTCTAGGTCCTCGTGTGCAACCTTTTGACCAAATCCAAGTTTTATAGAACAAATCTTTTTATTAAGGCATTTGTTCTGTGAAGTTTGGAATCAGTCAAAGGGCCACACTTAAGAATCTAGAGGGCCACATGTGGCCTCAAGGCCTCAGATTCCCCACCCTTTGTAGAGCCTTGCACAGCACCTTAGTTACAGTAAGTGCTTAATAAGTGCATGTTTAAATGTCAGATTAAAATTTTACCTCTTTTTGTACAGGGGATATTTTTGGCAATAGATGACTGTGAAATTTTAACCTCTTTTTTATTCATGGCAGTTTACATCCATATTAGCCTTTTCCATCTATGTTTAAATATAGATGATAATGGTAATGACTTGCCATCAGCAACAGAAATATATTGAGTTATTTTTCTAGTAGCTTTAATGAATTTAAGCTAAATTGCGTGTGCACACGCACACACACACACACACACACACACACACCCTCATGCCTTCTCTAAGTAACCAATGACATAAATTGGTATAATCTATGGCTCTGGAAGAGTATTGTTTTTCTAAATTTAATTGGTTTTTGGTACAGCTAAGTAGGGCAGTGGATTGAGTGTCAGGCCTAAAATCAAAAAGACTCATCTTCTTGAGTTCAAGTCTAACCTCAGACACTTACTAGCAGGGCAAGTTACTTAACCCTGTTTGCCTCAGTTTCCTCATCTGTAAAATGAATTGGAGAATAAATGGTACACCATTTTAGTATCTCTGCCAAGAAAACCTCAAATGGGGTCTGGAAGAGTCAGACATGACTGAAACATAACTGAAACTGAAAAATAACCATGAAGAAATACTATAATGACAAAGCTTTCTTAGTAGAAATTGATCCTTTGGAAGAAAGACAAAATGAACTGGAAATATTGGTTATACCTGAACTCAAATCCAACTGAAACATAGCATGGTTGGTCTGGCCATCCCCTATTCCTGGAATGCAACTGCTCTTTAATGTGACCTTACAGAATCCCTGTCATCCTTTAAGATGAAATTCAAGCACCATATTCTTCATGAAGTCTTTCCTGATTCCCCCACCCCAAACTTCTAGTGATTTTCCTCCCAGACTATCTCATATTTAATTCCTTTGTATGTTTATGTATTTATTAACTTTGTACACATATGTATATGTATATATATATATATATGCTACATATATAATTAATATGCCCTTATTGTCTTCACCCCCCATTAAAATGTAAACACCTTGAAAGTATGGATTGTTTAATTCTATCTCTGTGTAACCCCTGTACTTAGCACAGTGCCTGGCACATAGTAGGAGCCTAATAAATAATTGTCACTGATCGATTTTGCATTGCACTGCTGGTGACTGAACATGAGCAAAATGACTACCATGAAGATAATTGTGGTGTTTGGACCAACATCTATTGCATAAGAATGAAGTAGAGAAATTCCATGAAGAACTTGACAAGATTCTCAAAACAAGTTCACTATGCATTTACATATTTATTGAGATCAATGTTAAATTGGGCTCAGGAAGGATGGCTGAGCTAGATAACTACCATGGTCCCTTTTAACTTTGAGAATCTGTGATTCTGTGATGACAAAAGATAAATGTGAGTTGGAAAATGTGGTTCATGTTTGAATAAGTCAAAGGTTTGTAGATAGTTCATATAATTTATTGGTAGAATGTACTGCCTGAGAACAGGGGATTCTTCAATCACAGGCTAGATGACCACTTTTTTGTGTGACATAGAGGGATTGTATTTTAAGGTACAGATTGGACTATATGACCTTTGGAGATCTTCTAGATCTTGACTTTTGTGATTTTGTGATTCTAAGTGGGAAAGAAGGCTGGAAAGATATTGCCTGAAGTTTTGGAGGGTCTTGGATATCAATGCCAAGATAAGACTTTACACATTATTTGGGGAGGAAGAACAATGGGGACTGATGTTATCGGAGTTATGTATTAGAATGTTATTCTTACTTTATCTCTATTAAGGAAAATGGGTTTCAAATTAGTAACAGTAGAACAAACATGGTTAAGTCACAATGGACATTAGATTTATCCGAGATAACAGTAAAGAAATGACTAATTGTAAATGACTTGAAATTGTTTCAAGTCTCATTTTCAGAAAAAAAAATACTTCCTGGAGCAATGAAAGAGTTAGAAATGATCAGAGCATCACTAGGTTATTTTTTTTTTTTAGAAATCATAAGAAATGAGAGATAGCATAGTACTGGAAATGAACAAAAGTGCTGGCTTACACTAGGAGGAAACAAGTTTTTTATAAAAGGATGAATGTCACATAAAAGCCCAGAAAAGTTCTAGAAAGGATTATTAAATATATTGTTATTGCTTCAGAAAGATAGTGGTGGTCACTAAGAGTGAATCAGAACTAGCTTCATTTCCTTTTCTGATATAATTACTCAACTAATAGATCAGCAAAAGATGATAAGCATTATTCAAAAAGAAATTTGACATCATATTTGTAAATCGGTTATATAGTATGCCAGTGTATCGTATACACATATATGTATACACACCAACACAAACATTAAAATACAGACACTATGGACATAGTTTCCTTTATTTGATCAAAACTTCCTTTCATTCTCTCTTTTTATACCATCTCCTTCCTAAAATTATTCTTCATTCTCATGATGACTCTCATTTCCTTCACTATTTAATATTCACTTATGAGCTATGTAAGGGGTGCATACATTCATCATTAGCATAAATACCAATTTTCCATTGAACTAGAATTTGCAGGATATGGAATGAGATGTGAACAGATTTTGAATGTAGATGTAGAAATATCGATGTGTACAGATGTATTTGTGAATTTAATTAGAATCACATTAGGTTGATAACACTCAACAAATGGGGGTAGGTGGGGAAGTGATCACATCCCTGCAAATATTTTTCTCACTAGTAATACAAATATACCATATCATGTCACTTGCCTTGACAAACGACATATAAAAGAAGAGTGACATGCAAAGCATGGAATTGATCCATGTCTTTTTAAGTATTTACCAAAAATCTTCATTTTGAGGAAATGATTTTTCATTATTGGAATGTTGCTTAAGTTATACTGGAGTCTTTGCCTTTTAAGGAAATCAACTTATGTTTGACAAGGAGTATTTTCATACTGTTATTTTCTTTTAATATGCTCAAACTTTTAAAGCATTTCAGATATATGTTACTTCCACAATATTCAAGAAGAGTGACATTGCTGATAGCTGAGGCCATTAGGACAGAAGTGAGGGAAGAAATAATATTACTATTATAAGAGTTGATTGCCTTGATTTAACTTGCATTGCTTACACTAAAACATGTGTCTATCAATGGCTTCCTTCAGAACTGATCTTTTGCCTGAAAAAAAAATGTAGTAATTTTCTATGTCAGCCTTACCAACTTTGCTTCATTGTAAAATTAACTGTCTGCTCTTGAGGTTTAGGGCATACGTCCTTTGAGAAAATAAAAGCTCCTTGTATTTCCAATTTGAAAAAATGGCCACAAAGTATTTTTATGTCAATTCAATCAGATCCAACAAGCATTTATTAAGCATCCACCATGTAGTAAGCTCTGGAGATCAAAAGACAAAATGAAAAAGAACTCCTACCTTCAAGGCATACCTGTAAGTAGATAATTACATACATCATAAATGGAGCTAACAAGAGAGAGAATTAACAACAAAATCAATGAGGAAAGACTTCCTGTGAGAGAAGGTACATAAACTGAGACTTGATGGAAGCTAGGGATTTGAAGAGGCAACTGTGAGGAGGAAGTGCATTCCAGACGTGAAAGCCTGACAAAGGCAAGGAGGTGAGAGATGTCAGGCTAAGTTCAGGTAAGGGCAAATAGGATGGTTTGGTTGAAATGAAAAAAGAAATGCATGATGGGAATAAATATGCATTTAACCTGAAAAGATGGACTTGAACCAGATTGTGAAAGTTTTTTAATGCTGAGCTAAGGAATTTATATTTTATCCTGGATGAATTAGAGGGCAAATGAAACTTCTTGAACTGAGGAATGACATGATTGTACTTGGGAAGATTATTTTTTGCAGTTTGGAAGGTGTGTTTGGGAAACCTAAAACCAACTAGAAGACTATGGCAGTAGTCTAGATAAGAGATGGAAAAGGCCCCAGTTGCCACCCTGGCCTGCAAAGAAAGGATCTGATCTAAACTTTTGTATCTACAAAGATTAGGTAATTAACAGGTGTTCATTATAATGTTTTTACACTTCTCTCCTCTAGTGTTATGTGAAATGCTACTCTGTGATTCTTCCTGATAATTTCAGTGTACAAAATTGTCTAAGACTGACCTCTACGCCCCAGGAGATGGAATGCATTGTCAGGGAAAGTGGAAAACTACCTGTCTGTTACACCATTGGTAT